TCAGCATCATAATCGGCACCTAAGACTATAAGAGTTCTGGACTCTCTAAAGTGTCAAAGCTATATAGCCTAGGGCTTAGCCATCCAAAAAGTCTTAGGAATCAAACTAAGCAAAGCAGAAAGGCAAAATAATGTCCGACACTTTATAATCGGACACAAGTTATTCTAACTTAGTGCCTGAGGGGCTAGATATACACACATGATTATTTTGCAAAGGAATTAAAATAATGATAAACAGAAACGACATTAAGAAAAGCCACAAAATGGCCAAGTATTGTGCATTACAAAGCCCGAAGGCTGAAAAGTCATAAGAAAAAAGGGGACAACACCACACTCCCTTACAAAAACATCAAATTCATCAAAAGCATATCCAAAAGGATGTCTAATCAAAACAAGGAGAAACTTCAAAATCAATCAGCGGCCGAGGTGCCATTTGCGCCAGCGTTATCCGGGTGCTATCCCCGTCATTATTGACAGGAGTAGAATATTTCTCCGGGTTCTCATCCATTTCTACAAGGCGGCCATTCTACACCACCTTAAAATAATCCACCTCGGATAAATCCAACCCAGGATGGAGGCATAAAACTTGGTCTTTGGCCCTATCGAAAGCCTTGTCACCAGTAGAGAGAACTTAAATTTGAGCCTTCTTAAGGGACTCAGTAAGCTTGATATTGGAAGCCAAACGTTCTTGATGAGAAGCCTTGATTTGCTTTAACTCCTTGGTAACCTTTGATAAAGTCAGTTTATGCTCGGATTTAAGGGCCTCCTTGTTTTTCCTCTCGTCGGCTAGTTGTTTTACCAAGCTAGAAAGCTTATCCGATTGAGTTCTATGAGCTTCTTGTAGTCGGGTAATCTCTTCTTTCAGTTTTAACTCTGTCTTCTCAAAATCATCGCTGGATTCAAATAACCCGCGAGTAAGGCCGACGCACCTCATAAGATAGGAGCTTATATTATGGGTGATCTTATGCCTACCAATGAATTTCACTTTGTTAACGTCCTCGGTGGCGTTAAGATGGTCATATAGAAATTTAAGTCCATCAAAGCCGTTGGACCAAAATTTAAACTCCCCGAGCGCAAAAGTTTCCTCGGGGACTCTCATAAGAGAAGTAACCTTCATGTCAGCTTGGTAGACTTCGTCAGCCAATAAAGTTTTCAGCTTCTTTGGAGCAACCTGTGAAACCTCTTCTTGAGTCTTAGGAGCATTGGGTTGAATGTGACCCTTACTTGGAGGAGCCTTAGTATTTGTGCTCCTTATCTGCTTTGGTTGACGGACTTCTAACCCACTCAAGTATAACTTCGGTAATATAGAGTTCCCGGCTCCCTTCCGGGATGCTAGAGCTTCCTGAATTAACTTCTTTTGTCCATCTACGGATAGACTCATCATCATATCTACAAACACATATACGAGCTTCAGGAAAAAGCGTAATTGGGAATGATGAAAATAAATATAAACAAGTATCCATAAAGACGAGTAGTTGTTCGTCGCTTAGATATAACGATTCTTTGACCTTCATCATACGGAAGGAGTCAAGAACTATTAGAGATTGGGTTTCCAAGTCACTTAACTTATCAAAGCTGAAGCTAGTAATCGACAGTGGATTTTCAACCCAATAGAAAGGGAAGCGGGGATGGTCGTCTAAAGCATATAATACTTGTGGACACGTCGGCCCACTCTTTACCCTTAATAATTGATTCTTATAATTCTTATAGTTGGAGGTGTATGCCTGAAGAAAACTCCAGCCAGGAATCCTGTTGATTTGTACCCAACTACGGTTATCAACACCCTTAACCTCAAAGAAAGAGAAAAATAGGCCAATGGTGAGGGTGATGTTTAAAACCTCACAAACTCTTTCAAAGGCCTTTATAAAACCCCAACTATTGGGGCGAAGTTGAGAAGGGGCTATGTTCACAATTTGTAAAACATCCGCTTCAAAATCGAAAAGGGGTATCTGAATATTGAAGTCTTCTAAAACCCTAGCATAAAAATAGAAAAAATCTTCCTTGACACCTTTAGGACGAAGTATACAAACTCGTTCTCCGGGAATACATGATTCCAAGACAACATCGTCCTCGGACCTTGTTGAAGATATTTGCTTTTTGGATCGAAGTTTTGCAATTTCTATATCATCAAAGATGCTATTCTTATAGTTCATGACTTCGAGGTCGAAGGGAGCAGCGGTCATCATCGAAGTCTCTACAAAACCTGAGGAAGATGAGTCAGGGTCAAAATCACTTTTAGAAGTGAGAATATCACCATAAACTTCCTTTATAACCCGTCTATACTCTTCTGGTCCTAAAGCGTCTTCTATTCACAACTCCTTTCTCTCCACGACACTCATACGAACGACACTACCACTACCCTCATCGCCTCGTTCCCCAAAGACGATCATTCTTTCTAAAAAGTAGGTAGAAGAATAAGATAAATCAAGAAGGGTAAGGAAATACTTGTGAGTAACGAGAAGTTGAAAATTGAAATAGGAGTTTAATCGTTAAAAAAGATGATGCAGAGCCCAAATGAGAAGACGGACAGAGGAAAGAAAGGCTTTTAAAGGACTTAGCATCCAAGGATAGCTAGGGAGTAGCCACTAACAATCATCATTACACTGGAGAAAATGAAAGAACACGGCCCTCCGAGGAATTCATGACACGTAAGGACCTGAGAAGAAAAGTCGACCTATAGCACGACATCAGTCAAATATATCTGAGCTCATGTTACTACCGAGTATTGTACCCTTGTAAATAGGTGTAGTACTCGGGGGGATTATGTACATGCCAAACATATTTTGAATCGAGTTGTGTAGTCGGACAAGGTTAATCATGAACTAGACTACGATAGCAAGAAAGGTCGAGCAATGCAGAAAGTTAGACAAGTATCTCCTATAACCCGGATCGGTCACATAACCCGACTCCCATCAGCTGAGCTCCTAGGAAGTCGAGTACAGACCCCATCAACCTGGTACTTACGTCGGACATGAGTTCAACCGACATACCGACAGTTGTAACGGTGGCGGCGCATCAATGCAGACGTTACTAGAGCTTAAAAGCCTACATTTATGAAGCGGAGTTACAACAATGATGGTCATGTAACGTCAGAAGGTCAAGAGACTTTTCTTAATGGCATATCTTAATGGAAGACTATAAAAGGGGCTCCCACATGAGGGTTAAGTAAGACACAATCATCTTGAGACAATACACAAGTGTAGCTCTCAAATCCTTAAATATCCCTCACAATATAGACACTGTAAGTCTTCTTACTCAAAATAAGGGGAATTCGCACTTTTGGTGTATCTAACTATCTTTGGCTAGAACATAATAAAATAAAATATAATGCATGCATTTAAATATCACCTATTATTTCGGTTGATTAAATATACGATGTAATAATATGTTACGAAATGTATATTTTATAGTAGTATTTGACAATGCCAAGTAAATTGTAAGATCATCTTATAAAAATTTAATGATGGTTTAATTTTTAAGATCTGTTGTTTAATTTTTTTCATCATTAGAGTGTGAAGATGCGACTAACATTAATTCATTAAATTTAAGAAATGAAGTTTGGTAAAACAATATGTAAAGTTGAAAACTTAATATTAAATATTATAATTTTTTAGCCAATTCAATTGAAAATTAATTTATGTATATTTTTCATTGATGAGATAAAGACAGATCAAAGTTCCGGGTGGATAAGGCGGGGGTTGAAGTCGGTTTCAAGGTTGTCAAGATGTAGGCAGTGGTTGTGTGGTTTCTTTTCCTATTTGATGGTGTTTTGCTTTGACTGTTGTTATTATTGTTTGTATTTTTTTATTTATTTTGGGGCTGTCATGTTCTGCTATTAGGGATGGATGGTTTTTCTTGCTTTGTTGTATCTTTTGCACTTCTTGTGCTCTCTTTTAATAAAGGTTTTTGGCATAAAAATAAAATAAAATAAAATAAAATTTAAGAGCTAATATGGACGTATTTTTTATGTTATCAAAATTAGAGGTGGCAATTAAATTCATTAAGGCAAAATCTATCCAATCCATCTATCAAAAAATCCATCAAATTCATCCACCACAAAAAAAATAAGTTAATGGATTAGATTAAATCCATTCATTTATATGCATGGATGGATTCAATCCATCCATTTATATGCATGGATTGATTCAATCCATCCAACATATTTTAAGGATCCAATGAATTATTTTTATTTTCGTTAGATTTATTTTTTTTAAATTAGATTTTTTAAAAAATAATTAAAAAACTATATTTTTTTCTGAAAAAAAAAATTTATTTTTTTTGAAAAAAAATCTGTTTTTTTTTTTCAGAACAAAAAACTGATTTGTTTTTCGAAAAAAAAACCGACTTTTTTTTTGGAAAAAAAAATCAGTTTTTTTTTTCAGAATAAAAAACTGATTTGTTTTTCGAAAAAAAATATATTTTTTTCTCGAAAAAGAAAAATTTTTCGAAAAAAGACCGACTTTTTTTTGAAAAAAAATTGATTTTTTTTTCAGAATAAAAAACTGATTTGTTTTTCGAAAAAAAATAAAAAATTTTCTCGAACAAAAAACGACTTTTTTTTGGAAAAAAAACGGTTTTTTTTTTCAGAATAAAAAACTGATTTGTTTTTAAAAAAAATATTTATTTTTACGAAATTGAAAAAAAGGTTGGATGGATGGATATTTATCCATTAAAAATACGTTAATGGATGGATTTGATGGATTTTATTCTTAATGGATGGATCGGATGGATAATTTTAATAAAATTTTAATGGATTTTAATGGACTAATGGATTGTTTTAATCCATCCATTAGCAATCCAATTCATATTCATCCAATCCATCTATTTTGTCACCCCTAATCAAAATGAAGAGACGTTAACATACTTAACATATCGTCGGACAAAAAGGATATTAAATCATTTTACTATTAGCTTGAGTTGTAACAGCCTTATGCTACTTAAAAGACATAAAAAACAACAATAATTGCACATAAAGATAAAGACGGATCAAAGTTCACACAATCAAACAGATTGTCCAAAGACACAAAATCCATTGTTTACAACTGTAAATCCTCCATCAACAACAAGATTGTGACCACTAACATACTTAGATTCATCACTTCCCAAGTACATATTAGCTTCAGCGACATCATTTGGCATAAGATTAGTACCCTTTAGGTTTGAATAAACCCCTAGAATCCCATCATCATCTACCTTCAAGTATTTCTTAGCCATCGGAGTGAGAACAATATATGGTGACACACAATTCACCCGAATACCGAACGGTCCAAGCTCGACCGCTGTGTTTCTCGTCAGCCCCACCACGGCGTGCTTTGAACTTGTGTAAGCATGATTCGTTACACCACCTATGTTTCCACAAATACTAGCTGTGTTAATTATGCTACCTCTTCTAGCAGGGATCATTACTCTCGAAGCGTGTTTTGTTCCAAGAAAAATACCAACCAAGTTCACGTTAATCACTTGTTGAAATTCAGATAACGTGTATTCAAGTATGTTGGTATTATTCGCACCGGTTATGCCAGCGTTGTTTAACATGATGTCGAGTTTACCATAATTGGAAACCGTCGTGTTCACGGCGGTTTCGATGTCTTTTTCCTTTGTGACGTCGCAGTGAACATAGGAAGCTGATGATTTGTGTAACTCTTGGCAAATGGAGTGACCTTTGTCGTCTTGGATGTCAGCTATTACGACTTTAGCTCCGTTTTGATGGAAAAGTCTTGCAGTGGCTTCTCCGATGCCGCCCGCACCACCGGTGATCAGAGCCACCTTGCCCTCAAGCCTTGTAATATGTACAATCAAAGAAAAAGAAAAAGATGCCCAAAACTATAAGTCTTTTTTTCATTACAAGGCAAAGAAAAGCACCTCAAAAGTATTACCATTTATATTTTCGTGTGTATGGAAATTAAACGAGATGAAGTTGCAACTTGTTTACCTTCTTAGAACAGCTGATGCCAAAGGAACAGTTGCCATGGTTGTGTGGATCTACAATCGGAGTCCTTCACTAAGCTATAGGTTGATGCTGATTTTTTTTGTGGCAGCCTTTGTTGATTAATCAACTGTGCGAAAAGTATCCATCACGTTTAACAAAAACTTCATTAGAATACTCACGAGTGAAATGCATTTAAGAATAATTCAACATGGAGCCCACTAGTACAACGCACTTTGTTGATTTTCACGAAAACTTTACTCTACATCCCTATATTTATACCTTTACTCTTACATTTTATTTTTAAATACCCGTTTTAACTTTTTTATACATTTAACTTTTTATACATGGTAATTATTTATTATTTTATATTTTACTTTCTCATTTAACAGTTTTTAATTTAGTGGAAGTGCATCCTTACATCAGTTTACCGAATTACTTCATTATCGATGTTCTTGCTAAGTATTGTTTTCACCAAATTAGTTATTAGATTTACTTTCATTCAAGTTTTTGGTATTTAGTTAATAATTTGTATGTTTTGTGTAGATACCTTTAATACTTTCAAAACTACACATATATAAAGGTATAAGAAGGTGGATTAAGAAAGTTGAAATAAGATAAAGTGATTGTTATTATTATATAATCATATTAATACAATAAAAAATTCCTCTGACATCAGTTTAAAAAATAATACAATCACAATTGACAAACCTTCACCACAAACGTATGATTGTATCGATAACCTAAGTAATGTGTTATCTATCACAACGATTATCATAATATGAGTGTGTGAGAGAGAGAGAGCACTGCTCCAAAAAGTGTTTTTAACGTCGGACGCGAAATGCATTTTACCTAGGTTGTAGTATCGAGGTAACGAAGAGCGTCATGAAAAGTAACAACTCATCACATTGGTGTTTTAAACACCGAGGGATAAATAAATTTGCACATTCGTTCGAAACTCAGCATCTGCATTTTTATTATTTACAAAACTAGCATCTCATACATACCAGTTTATAATAAAACCAGGGGTAAGATAAATTATTTTTTTTAATTGACATTCGTTACATTGTTTACACAGAAAATAAATAAAACTAATTTGTTTACATACTACAATGTTTACCCAAAATATTACATTATTTACACATAATACTAAAATAAAATTAATTTATTCCTGAAGATCATATGTTAGATCTTCAACTCCTTGATATTTAAGCAAGATCAAATGTGTCACCTTGCAGTTATTTATTTTTGATATTAAAAAAGGGTTAGAGCAAAAAAAGGTTAGAAAATAAATGATTTTCTACTCAAATAATATTTAAAAACACAATCCTTGATCCCAGATAATTTTATGCACTTGCAACCCCATCATATAGAACTCTTAATGGCAAAAATTAAAGTGTAGGGTGTAGATAGTTTCAAGCGCTTCACGATGTTTCTATATCAATTATAGACGTCAGAAGGCCTTTATTGTAAGAGCACAGATTGTGTCTTAGTAATATCTCTATGTTTTGATGATAACATTAATGATAATTTGTATACAAGAATTATACTCTCTAAATTTGTTCTAAACTGTTTTCTACAGGCACAAAAGATTTTAATCTTAAAGAGCAAATTTGATGTGAACAATAAATTCTGAATGGCTCAAGAGCATCTGAAGATTAGAAGAATCTGAAGTATAAGAGCTTAGTCATCAAGATTCTGAAGATACAACACGCTGCATATATTATCAAGAATCTGAATGAAAGAAGACTCTGAGTGAAGAGACTCTGAATGAGAGAAGACTCTGATCTGAGTGAAGACTCTGATCTAAGAGCATGTTACGCTTCAAGCACACAGCTGCACCAGACTCTGATTCAGCAACATCTGAAGAACATCTTAGGCTCTGAAGTTTCCAGAAGATTCTGAAGACTGAAGACTCTGATATTGATTGTTGATCTGAACTATCTGAAGAATTATTTGAAGAAGATTACTTTAATATATCCGTTGGAATATGCCAGCAAATCTTTCCTTAATTGGGATAGACATAAATCTCTGCAAGAAGATTATTCCTCTGATACATTCCATATATGGTAAATTCACAGCTCAGCAGACAATTGCTACACCCACATTTTGTGCGCCGTCTCTCTGCTGCAATAGTACAAAGGACAGTACTATTTGATATTGGAAATATCTTCTCCAACGGTATTATATTCTCTCCAATATTCAAGTGGCTATATAAAGGATATCATAGCACCTTCTTCAATGAGAAAAAAACAAAAAGACGAATTTTGAAAAACTTATTCTCAAGCGAAGAAACTCTCAAGCTCTCATATTCTTTATAGTTCATACTTTGTTCTAAACTTAGAGAAATAACACAGTTGTGTTTATAGCTTTCATAGAAGCATTTTATTACTCTTACATTGTATTACATTAATTTGTAAAGGAAGTTTTCCTTAAGAGGATCTAGGTTAGATCAGTAGCTCTTGAGAAGACTAAGAACAGTTGTTCTTAGGTGTTGCTATTTGTAATCAGTTGATTTGAATAGTGGATTAAGTCCTTGTTGAGAAAGGCAAATCACTCTTGAAAAGGGTGGACTGGAGTAGTTGAGTTCAACGAACCAGGATAAAAATACTTGAGTTTTTATCTTTGATTATTTTCTGTCATACTTATTCAACCCCCCCTTCTAAGTATTTTCTCACCTTCAGTTGGCATCAGAGCTCCGGTTCTGCGTGTGCATTCACTTAACCGTGACAGATAAAGATCCAGTGAGAAGAATACTCTGTTATTTATTTGGTTGCTAATATGGGTGATATTCCTACATCAAGCAACAAATATGAAGGAGACAGAATCAGCACCAAACCTCCAATGTTTGATGGAGAAAAATTTGATTATTGGAAAGATAGACTTGAAAGTTTTTTCTTGGGGTATGATGCTGATCTCTGGGATTTAGTCATTGATGGATATGAACATCCTACTAAGGATGGCAAAAAGATTGATAGAAAATCAATGACTGAGGAGCAGAAGAAAGAATTCAAGAATCATCACAAAGCCAGAACCATACTTCTTAATGCAATCTCTCATACAGAGTATGAGAAGATTACCAACAGAGACACTGCTCATGATATGTTTGAGTCTCTCAAAATGACTCATGAGGGAAACTCTCAGGTGAAAGAAACAAAGGCTCTGGCGCTGATACAGAAGTATGAAGCGTTCAAGATGGAAGAATCTGAGAACATTGAGACTATGTTTTCCAGATTTCAGATTCTAACAGCTGGGTTGAAAGTTCTGGACAAGGGCTACTCAACATCTGATCATGTCAAGAAGATCATCAGAAGTCTTCCTACCAGATGGAGACCTATGGTGACTGCATTGAAGCTGGCCAAGGATCTGAACAAAATCTCATTAGAAGAACTCATCAGTTCTTTGAGAAGTCATGAGATTGAGCTGGAGGAAGATGAACCCCAGAAGAAAGATAAAGGTAAATCCTTAGCTTTTAAATCTAACAAATCTGTTAAAGCTTTGCAGGTAAATGAAGAAAGCTCTGAGGAATCTTCTTCTGAAGAAGAAGATGAACTATCCATGCTGTCCAGAAGGATCAACAAACTCTGGAAGCACAAAGGGAAGAAGTTCAACAACTTCAGAAGATCTGATCAAAAGAGAGAATCTTCTGGACACAGAAGATCTGGCAAGAAAGAGGTCACTTGCTATGAATGTAAAGAACCTGGACACTACAAGAGTGAATGTCCCAAACTTCAAAAGGAAAAACCCAAAAGGAAGTTTGATAAAAAGAAAAAGGTTCTGATGGCTACATGGGATGACTCAGATGAATCTGAATCATCTTCTGAATCTGAGGAAGAATGTGCAAATGTTGCGCTGATGGCCAACACAAATGATCAAGATGAAGGAACGTCATCATCTGAATCTGAGTCAGAATCAGACTCTGACTCTGAAGAGGTATTTTCTGAACTCTCCAGAGCTGAACTTGTTGAAAGTTTATCTGACATGTTGGAAAGCTACAGCAAGATTAAACTCAAATACAAGAAGCTGAAAAGCAATCTTGAATCTAAGATTGATCTTCTGAGAACAGAACTTGTTGAGCAGAAAGAAATAAATTTAAAACTCAAAAATGATTTAGAAACAACTCAACAAGAATCTGATACTGAAACAGAGTCAAGTGAAAATATTTTAGAAAAATATGACTCCAGTTTTAAAAGATTCCTCACTAAAAGCATAGACAGAAGCAAAATGGCTTCTATGATCTATGGTGTTAGTGGGAACAACAGAAGAGGCATTGGATGTGAATCTTCCTCTGGAAGCAATCCAAAATCTGTTGATAAACTCTTCATCAAGAAGACTCCTCTGTATTCTCATTTTAAGTTTGGTCATCTGAATGATATTAAACATACAAGCTCTGAAAAGAGTACTTATGTGTTTAAGCCAAGGGCTAGCCAGAATAAACACTATGTTGAAAAACAGAAGTTTAGGCAAAACCACAGAACATCTAACCCCAAAGGACCCAAGAAGATCTGGGTACCTAAAAGTAAAATAATACCTGTTGCAGATGTTCTTAGCAGCAAAATCCAGACACCAATCATGGTACCTGGACTCTGGATGCTCACGACATATGACGGGCGAAAGGTCTATGTTCCAAAGCCTGGAACTTAGATCTGGAGGGGACGTGAAATTTGGAGGGAACCAGAAGGGCAAGATCATTGGCTCTGGTACAATAGGTAATGGTAACCTACCCTCTATTTCTAATGTTCTGTTAGTTGAAGGATTGAAACATAATCTATTGTCCATAAGTCAATTAAGTGACAATGGTTATGATATCATCTTTAATCAAAAATGTTGCAAAGCTGTATGTCAAAAGAATGGTTCAATCCTATTCAGTGGAAAGAGGAAAAACAACATTTACAAAATTAACCTTTCAGAACTTAAAGTTCAAAATGTAAAATGCCTTTTATCTGTGAATGATGAGCAATGGGTCTGGCATAGAAGATTGGGACATATTAATATGAGACGTATATCTCAGATTAATAAACTCAATCTGGTCAGAGGACTCCCT